ATCAGAGTTCAAATCAGTCTGATTTAAAAACTAATTATTGATACTCCTTGAGAGCCTTCCAGGAAAGAAATGAGTATGGATGGAAACATATTAAAAATTTAAAAGATAGTTCTATTACCTTAGCTCTCCAAGCAGGTAAAAATAAGATGGAATTTATAAATGTGGTTTTTATTTGAATGTGACCAAGGATTTAAGAGATATATACTATTCCTAATATTGTTAAAAAATATATTACAATGCGCTGGGTATAACTACTAGGTAGTAACTACAAATGAGACCACTACATTCTAGGCCACATTTGCTTAACTTGCTGTCCACTTCATGATTAAATATCTTATGCAAACTTTAACAGATCCTACTATCAAAGGAGAGAAACAATTCAGAAAGACCTGTCTAAAATTTTAGAAAATGTGGACAGTATATAAATTTATATATAAATTTTAAATGATCACATAACCTTTGACCCAATCAATTCACTTCTAGCCTGGAGAGGAACTATGCATAACTAGGAATAACTGAGTGTGTTAAAAATAAAGTATTACAACATTTTTAAAATCAAGAATCAAGAATTTTTAAAATCAAGTAATTATAAGGAAATAGCATTAACTAGGATGTTAAAAATCTTTAATCTGAAAATGGAAATTCTGAAATGCTTCAAAAATCAAGAATTTTTAAAATCAAGTAATTATAAGGAAATAGCATTAACTAGGATGTTAAAAATCTTTAATCTGAAAATGGAAATTCTGAAATGCTTCAAACTCTAAAACAAAACTATGAGTGCTGATATTACACTATGAGTCTGATGATGGTCAATGTACACAAAATTTCTTTCATGTTCAAAAAATTATTTAAAATAATATATAAAATAACTTTCAAGCTATAGATAAAAGGCACATATGAAACATTAATTTCACATTTAAGCTTAGGTTCCATATCCCCAAAATATTATGAATATGCAAATATTTCCTATTCCAGAATCAAAATTTGCAATGAAACAATTTTAGTCCCAAGTTCTCAAATAAAGATACTCAATCTATACTTAAAAGGTATTAATAAGGAGGGATACTATGGAGTACCCAAAATGACAATGTGTAGCAATATTTATGGACATGAATAAGAAAATAACACATACACACAGACAAATAAAAATAGAGGGTTGTGTCCGGGGAACAGATCCAGAGTAGGATGCATTACTGTACTTATAGAAAATTATGGGGGGAAGGGAAGGAAAGAAAAAAATGGTATATTAAATTGAGAGTTGGCTCTAAAGTCTTTGCTTTAGAATTTTTTTTCACAAAGATCATTTCATAATGGGCCTATCTGGCCATTTATACAAACCAAGAATATATGACCACTCTTCTCATCCAAAAGTGTTACAGGTGAGAGACTTTATAAATTGTACAAAACCTGTTAGTATGTGGAAATAGAAGTAAATGTGTTCAAACAGTCTGTCTGGTATTAGCAACAAAGAGCTACTTTTCAAATTTTCTTCCCTAAAAACCTGATGTATATAAAAGGGGGTTGGCATCTACTACGTGTAAGTTTTGCACTTGGAAAACTCTCATTATTTTATGTCTTTATTATATTCTTACCCATTCCAGAAGTACTATCTCACTAATGTAGAAGGTACTATAGTAAAAAGCTATAAGGAATATCAATTACTAGATATGGATTTGTCCAATACACAGCATATAGTATATTAAGGGAAGCAATTGGCTCATCTCAATTCTTAAACTAACAGATGGAAGTAATATTGAGAAAAGTATTAGTTTTAAGCCACAAAAGTTGGCAGCTTAGTTAAAGTTTCGAAATATGCCCTCCATGATCAATGGTCACAATTTCAACTTTTTCCTTTAAAAAAAGAGCAGGGGGGGCGGGGGGGGAGACATGCTGGCTATTGGTAGCTCACATCTGCAATCCTTACTACTTAGGAAGCTGAGATCTGAGAATGGAAGTTCAAAGCCAATTGAAAAAAAAAATCCTCAAAACTCTTATCTCCAATCAACAGAAAAAGCTGCAGGTGGAAGTATGGCTAACCAAGTGATAGAGTGCCAGCTTTGAGCAAAAAAGCTAAGGGACAACACTCAGGACCTGAGCTCAAGCCCCAGTGGCCAAAAAACCACTTTCATGTGATATAAAAACATTTTAAGTTCTTCATATTATCCAGACACCATTTCTTTCTTTTTTCTTTTCCTAATTCCTTTCCTGTCCTTTGATCCTTTGAAGAGTACTGCTTAGTTATTTTGATATCCCTGGCTCCTCAAAGCAATTATTTTTCTTTTCAACCAATAACATGTTGATTTTCATTTTCATTTCTCTAGATTTACTGCAGTAAAATTAAACAAATTAAATGCATATGAATTATAAACTATGATTCCTTTAGCTTTACAGACAAGGAAACTAACATATAAGATTTAAAAATTCAGTCAAGTAGCTGAGCACTGGTGGCTCATTCCTGTAATCCTAGCTACTCAGGAGGCTGAGATTTGAGGATTGCAGTTCAAAGCCAGCTTGGGCAGGAAAGTCAATGAGACATTTATTTCCAATTAACCACCAGAAAACTGGAAGTAGCACTGTGGCTCAAAGTGGTAGAATGTTAGCCTTGAGCAAAAGAGCTCAGGGACAACACCTAGGCCCTGAGTTCAAGCTCTACAACTAGCCTTCCCCCCCTCCCTGCACAAAAAAGTGATAAAATAAAATTAGTCCAAGGCTAAACAGCTAGAGATTGCTTTTAGACCCTACCACCCAGACTCTTAGCAATTTTACCATATTAATTTAATCAAAAAGTTTTTAATATGAGTACTCTATGAGGTATAATCACATAATTGAAGCACTTAATGATTTTCCTTTTAACCTAACTTAGGATAATTAGTGTTTTATTAGTAATTTTTATTTTTATTTCAATTAATATTAACAAAATTATTAGCAAGCTCACAAACTTCAAACTTATAATGGACAGATGATTTTCTGACATTGAAAGGATTAAAATTTAACTTTAGTTGGGCACCAGTTGGCTCATGTTTGTATCCTTAGTTACTTGGGAAACAGATATTAGAAGGATTGAGATTTGAGGCCAGTCCAGAAAAAAAGTTTGTGAGAGTTCGTCCCAACCAATAACTAAGCATTGTGGTTCTCATCTGCCATCCCAGCACACGTAAGGCTGAGATTGGAAGGGCTGGTTTCAGGCCATTCTGCAAGAAAGTTCATGAGACCTCATCTCATGATTTGAGATGAATATAGTGGTACACACCTATCATATCAGGGTGGAAAGCATAAACAGAAGGATCATCACCTGAGACACCAAAGCAAAAAACAAGACCTTATCCCAAAAATAATTAGTGTAACTCCACCATCACTGAAGACTCTTTCCATCTAACAATATAGTTGGGTAATTACCAGGAATCATATCTTTGTTTCTGGAGTAATATTCCATAGTGGTATGTAACCACTTGATAGAGTCTGTGCTTCTTTGTAATAAATCTCCTTGCCAGATGCAGAGACGCAGACTTGCTACTGGCAAAAGTAAAGCAAATTGAGCCAATAAAATTTTTCTAGTGTGGAAATATTTTCCTATAAGAGCTCAGTGTGATGAGTGTGTCAGTGTAGTGATCAGACTATCAGGGAGACCAGGAAGCCAGTTTCTCCAGATTACCTGCCAGCCACTTCTGGGCAATAATGCTGTCATTGTTTAAGATGTAACAAAAGGCAGCTTATTGGGGAAAGGGAGAGTTGAATGACTGCATTAAAGATTCTTGATAAAACTGAAGGCATAATTTGGGAACCAAAAACCTCAAAGTAATCTTTTGAACCGTAAGCCACATACATACTTTTCTTGAAAAGTATTCATCTTTCTTATAAAATTCTGCTGGAGATTATGTCATTGAAAAATGAACTGAGACAAACACAGAGGTTGGTTTTATGGCATATTGTACTGGAAGCCTGAAGAGTTCAGGCAGATTTAAATTCCAACTCTTGTTATAATTTTTTAAAAGACTGTGAAATTATCAAAATGCATGAGTAAATTTGAATCTATTGTATGATGGTGGATGAGGCTGTTTATTGTGCCATTTCTCTCTTTCTTTGGATTCTCAGTCATGATTTGGCAGTGTAAGAACTCTGTAGCATTAATAAATTCAATAAAAAAATATGTGTATACACACACACACACACACACACACACACACACACACACACACACACACACATATCCAGAGTAAAAAAAAAAAAAAGAGCTGGAGGCTCAAGCAGTAAAGTGACTGCCTGTCTTTTTGGTAGTTTAGTGGAAATAAGAGTCTCACAGACTTTCCTGCCTGGGCTACCTTGCAAAGTTGATCTTCAGATCTCAGCCTCCTGAGTAACTAGGATTGCAGGTATGAGCTACCAGCATTTGGTTGAGAGATGTTTTTATTGACATGTTTGGGATTTTGTGGTAATATACAAGGATAGTTACAACCAAATGACATACTAACAAATAATTACAGAGACAGATAATTCTACAGATAATTAAACATACTACAGAAATACCTGTAATAGCACTGAAAGCCACAGCACCACCTATGAAATGAAGAAAGATTTAAGAGAAAAAACAGAAAAACTTGGGATGAGTAACTTTCTAATGAACTAAGATACGATTTGGGAAACGAGTACTTAACTCATTAAGTTTTTTTCAACTTTAGGGATGTACTTTTCCATTAAAAGAATTTTGTTTTAATTTATAAATCTCTTTAAAGATCCTAAACTAGTAAAATGAGCTTTTAAAAACAAGTAGATCTCAACATTGAAAGTTTGGTTTATAGTACAGTAAAACAACTTACGTTAGTTGCTCATTTCCTTGATTTCAACTAGCATTGATCTAACTCAATGTGGAGGAAGGTTACATAAGTGCAGGTTAACACACTTAATGATTAACTATATTCACTTGTCAACCTCACCTTCTATGTAACAAATAGTGGCATATATAAGTATATGTAAAGAAGTCTAGGTCTCTTTATGGGAGAATAACAGCTCCAAATTGCTTGAAATTTAATAATTTGAATGAAAATGTACTTAATTAAGCTCTTTGTTTTGCTTATTCCTCTAGTTACTGCTTCCACAATTCATCAAGACAATTCATCATTTGATTCTGTACCTTCAGAACCCAAATCAAGATTTGCTATGTTAGATGATGTAAAAATTTTAGCCAATGGCCTGCTTCAATTGGGACATGGTCTTAAAGATTTTGTTCATAAGACTAAGGGCCAAATTAATGACATATTTCAAAAACTTAACATATTTGATCAGTCTTTTTATGATCTAACACTACAAACCAATGAAATCAAGAAAGAAGAAAAAGAACTGAGAAGAACTACATCCAAACTACAAGTCAAAAATGAAGAAGTAAAGAATATGTCACTTGAACTCAACTCAAAACTTGAAGGTCTCCTGGAAGAAAAAATTCTACTTCAACAAAAAGTGGGATATTTGGAGGAGCAATTAACTAATTTAATTCAAAGTCAACCTGAAATTCAGGAACATCCAGAAGTAATTTCACTTAAAGTAAGTAGAAACCAGAGGAGTGATGTTTGTTTTTGATGTGAATTTTTAGAAATGTATTTCTGAAACACACTATTTAAAGTACTGTTACATTACTGAAATACTTTTTCTAAAGAAAAGTAACCTCTAGAAAGTAAAATTTTGTTGTAATTTCAAGTTGTTATTTTCTTAATATAGATAAAAAAATTTATATGGAAACTACGTGAAGTAATGCAATTTTGTAACAAAAATATTATATCATTCATAATTACTGAAGGTTAAGTAAAAAGTTCAAAGAATTTAAGTTTTAAAGTATTCTTTCATGTTAAAAATGTATAAATGTAATGCAATAAATGGTGATTTTTTTCCAATTAATTTTTATATAGCTTTCCAAAGTAATTAATTTTAGAAATGATACCCTTTTAAAATGTAACAAAAGTATGTGTTATTTGAAAGAACCTCCAAGGGAAAATGATAGCCAATGTTCATTTTTCTAACCCACTAATGGCTTTAAAAATTAGATTTATAGTTATAAATTTAAAAAAAAGAAGAAATTTCTAATCAAACAATGATCCATGACCAGACTTTTGTAGAACAGCAGGACAACAACATCAAAGACCTATTGCAGACGGTGGAAGAGCAGTATAAACAATTAAATCAACAGCGCAGTCAAATAAAAGAAATAGAAAACCAGGTAAGACAATATGTTAATGCTATGAACAATCTTTTACAGTGGCTGATTAAAAAAACAATTATTTAAAATTATTTTTAATGTTTTGTGAATAAAATAATCACAGCAACATGCCCACTAATATCGCTGGCTCTATACCTAATAAACTACTTATGTTTGAATTACATCTCCAAACTTTTTGTAGGACTTGGGAGTAATTTAACCCTTAGTCTCATATGTCCTACAAAGCTATCAATTGAACCTCAATTAAGAATAGTGAGGGGGAAAAAAAAAAGAATTCATAGCTTTCAATGATCCTATTAAGTACTAAATCAGATTGTGTATTTTTGTTTTGCTCTAAACTCCAACAATGGCTGCCCACTTCAATCTTAATAGTCTTAAGACCCAGATGACTTAGCTCTTCATTATCTCACTAAGAAATCTACTCACACTGGCCTTGTCACTGTTGCTCAAACACATCAAACACACTTCCCCTCAGGGCCTTTGCCCTAGCTGTTCCTTCTATCTGGAAAGCTCTTCTCCCTGGTTGTCCGCACAGCCTACTCTTTCAGTTCCTTTGGCTTTTATTAAATACAAAACTCTCACAGAAGGCTTTCTAGGCCATTTAACCAAAAGTTACTTTAGTTACTCTAGGCCCAACTCCCAAAGTTTCTACCTCTTTACTTTTTCATATTAACATCTACCTTCTCTCCACCTCCTAAGCTAGAAAGTAAGGTCTGGGAATGGAAGTTTTTTCCCCCATTATTTTTGTTGCTGTAGTCCCAGAATAGAATACTGTGTGGCACATAACAGGTACTCTCTCAACAATATTGTTAAAATGACAATGATAATATTCACAAAGAAGTATAATAAGACTTGGTAAGATTCACACTAGATAAAGAATACATCAAAATACCTTAGGCAAAGCTTTGGACCTTATCGATCTTGGGGTTTTACCTTTCTAGCCAATGTGTTTCATTTTGTATATCTGCCTTACTCCCAATCTTTTTTTTTTTTTTTTAACTAAACAATGTGCTTTGCTCAAGATATACTGTATTCATAAACTTTGTTAAATGACAACTCCTTTGTGCAACTACTTAAAGACAATTTTTATTATTATTTTTTTTGCCAGTCATGGGGCCTGAACTCTGGGTCTGGGTGCTGTCCCTCAGCTCTTCAGCTCAAGGCTAGCGCTCTACCACTGGAGCCACAGCACTACTTCCGGCTTTTTCTATTTATGTGGTACTGAGGAATCGAACCCAGGGCCTCATGCTTGCAAGGCATGCACTCTACCACTGAGCTACCTTCCCAGCCCCTACTTAAAGACAATTTTAAAAATTAAAAAAATGCTTGATTATATATTTTCAAGAAAAGATCTGTACAATCTGCATTGTCTATTCTTAACATCAAAAAGAGTAACATTCTAATGTAAAAGACAAGATGCATATACATTGTACCTTGGATACTCTTACTCAGATTTCTCCAATTATATAGTTATTACTATTTCTTAAAAATAGATGTTTACTCTCTCATCAGCTCAGAAGGACTGGTACTCAAGAACTCATAGAAAATTCTCTTTCATCCAAACCAAGAGCACCAAGAACTACTCCCCCTTTTAAGCTGAATGAAACAAAAAATACAGAACAAAATGGTAAGATAATTTGGTGAGTTTAATTTTTAAGCCATTATCATCAAATTCCCTATTTTCATCATGATTTAAACTAAAATTTTTGTTGTTGTTGTTTGTTTTTTTGGGTCTGGTCATGGGGCCTGAACTCTGGGCCTGGGTGCTGTCCCTCAGCTCTTCAGCTCAAGGCTAGTGCTCTACCACTTGAGCCACAGCGCCACTTCCAGCTTTTTTCTTTTTGCTTATGTGGTGCTGAGGAATAGAACCCAGGGCCTCAGGCATGCAAGGCAAGCGCTCTACCACTGAGCCACCTTCCCAGCCCAAAATTAAATTTTTTTTTAAAACACACTTATCCCTAAATATATCCATTTTAATTGGCTTCTATTTAATTGACTCCTTTTCTTAAAAAAATAAAAATTTTATATTCATTGTATAGTATCATCTAATAAAAATGGCTTAGCCTAAACATTACCGAAACCATCCATCAGAATTCCACGGGTATCAGGTAAAAAAATTCTTAAATTCAAAGGTTATTTCTATTACTCATATAATAACATTTTGTTGATTCTAGGCATTCCTGCTGATTGCTCCACCATTTACAATAGAGGTGAACATACAAGTGGCACATATACCATTAGACCCAGAAACTCTCACGTTTTTAATGTCTACTGTGTTATTAATTCAGGTAAAACCAGCTTAAGAAGAAAAAAAATAATTCAAGTTATTCATTACCTACTATAAGGCTAATCTTGTTATTAATTTATGTTACAAAAGGAAATAAATATATAACATGAACATTTATATAGATCTAGGGCTTACATTTGTCTTATTTATTCAACAGCCACCATTTCCTTTGTAGAATAAATAGTAGTGACTACTGTCAGTATGTTTACCAAGAAAATTTTGGTTGCTCTTGTTTGGGACTAGAATAAATAACAACATATATTGCCAGACACTTAAAATATAGTATCACACAGATAAATTACCATATTAACCCACCAATTGAAGAAAGACCACAAAGAGTAATATAGGGTATGTGAATTTGATCAAAGTATATTATATGCATAGATGTAAATATCACAATGAAATCCCATCATACAATTAACTTACCCTAATTTAAAGAATTTTGAAAGGTTTTTTAATTCTTTTTTAATACTTTTTTATTGTAAAAGTAGTGTACAGAGGGGTTACAGTTACATAAATAAGGTAATGAGTACATTTCCTATTGAGCATTGTTACCTCCTCCTTTGTTTTTTCCCCTACCATCCCTTCCTTCCCTCCCCACCTCCCCAACTCCTCCCTCCCTCCCTCCCCCCTACAAGTTGTAAAGTTTGTTTTCAACACAGTATCTTGTACATCTTATTGTTATAATGGGTCAACCTGTACCCGTATTTAACCATTTTGTTTTTTTCCTTCCCTTCTCCAAATTAGAAGACTGTATATACAAGATGCAGGGCACCAGAATCAAATACAGTGAAAACAGGGGTTATACCATGGGGGAAGTTTTGTTTCTTTTGTATGAAAGGGTTTTTTTTTCCCCAATTATCAACATCAATCTACTAAAATTATACACTTATCCAGGTAATCCATGGACAATGATTCAACACCGAATAAATGGATCTCTAAACTTCAATGAAACGTGGGAGAACTATAAATATGGTTTTGGTAGGCTTGATGGTAAGGTGCTTTCATTCAATCATTCATTTAACTATTGAAAAATATTTAGACTAAGAATGTAACAATAAGACCTACCTTCACAAAACAGGTTACCAAATAATTACATATGTTAGTAATTACATCTATTATCTACATTTACTACAATTTAATTGTATGGCATATACTTATTTCAATTATAATTTTAAAAAATTTCATGTAATGTACTTTCATAAATGGACAACACTTATGCTCCAAAGATAACTATTCCTGGCACTAGTTTCTATATCCTCTTGTTAACATTTTAAGTACAATTAACTAAAAGTTAGAAGGGGTTACAGTTATACTTCAGTGGCAATGCTTGTCTATTATGGCCCTAGAATTGAGCCCTGAAACCCAGGGAAAAAAATTAATAAAATGAAACAAAAGTTAGACGAGACAAAGAAGTTGTATTTACATATTATGAATGTATACTACAAAATATAGATTTAACAAGATTTAATTCAATGTAAATTATATTTTAATAATGAAAACAAATACAAAAGAAGCAAAATAAATGCTCACAATCCAAAAAGCATATTATAGAAATCTAACAGGTGTCTGTTACCATATCCAGTCATTGGTTGAGATGGAGTCTCCTAAACTTTTTTGCCCAGGCTTGCCACAAACCACAATCCTTTACTCTGATTTCTTCCCCTCCTCTCCCTCCTCTGCTGATCCTGGGCTTAAATTCAGCGCCTGGACATTGTCCCTGAGCTTATTTTAAGGCAAGCACTCTACAGAGCTCGTTTCGGCTTCTTCTGGATAGTTGATTGGCAATAAGAGACTTGCCATCTTTCCTTCCCAGGCTGGCTTCAAACTGGGATCCTCAGACCACAGCCTTCTGAGTAGTTAGGATTTCAAGTGTGAGCCACCAGCACCCAGCTTTGATTTCCTTTTTTTTTTTTTTTTTTTTTTTGTTGGTTGGTTGTGGGGCTTGAACTCTGGGCCTGGGCTCTGTTGACTCAGCTATTCAGCTCAAGGTGAGCACTCTACTACTTGACCCCCCCTCTCCCCCACAGCACCACTTCTGGTTTTCTGGTGGTTTATTGGAGATAAGACTCTTACAGACTTTCCTGCCCAGGCTGGCTTTGAACTGTGATCGTCAGATCTCAGCCTCCTGAGTAGCTAGAATTAACGGTGTGAGCCACTGGCGCAGGCTAGATTTCCCTCTTTTAAGTAGCTAGGATTATAGGATTGAGCCACTGTGTCTGGCTTATTATACCAAACTTTTTAACTCTCAATGCTATCAGACTAAAAATATTTCATATTCAAATTATTAGTTATATTTCTAAGCTGAAGTTATACTCTGCAATATTTTACATTTCCAACTCTTCTCTTAAGAGTTAACCCTCAAATAAAAGACTGTGAGACTTTTATTACTATTTCTAATGAGAAAGAAAGCCGTGTATACTTACACTTATCCTTAACTCAAGGATCCTACTAACTTAATAGCAAAAAAATACTGTCTTTTTGCCATTAAATATTTTAATAAGGATTGTTATAAAAGGCTCAAGGCTAGAGCTCTACCACACCACAGCCCACTTCTAGCTTTTTCTGTTTATGTGGTGCTGAGGAATTGAACCCAGGGCCTCATGCATGCAAGGCAAGCACTCTACCACTGAGCTACCATCCCAGCCCTGAAGTTTAAATTTTAATTACTGAACCTCCATAGGCCTTTTTTATTAATCACATACTCAATGACCCAAATATCCACAGATCTTATTAAATTCAAGAAAATGACCTAATTAGTGGTTACTATGCCAGATGGTCATTAGAAATAGAATACCTAACGATGATAAAAATGGCCTGTTTATTCTATTATTGTTACATGTGAATTTAAAAATTATTCCACAAAAAATAAAATGTAAATTTCAAGTCTCAAAGTTGATTGAAAAAATGTGTACCATTCTTTTTCAATAATGAGCAATTGTACAGACATATGCAAGACATCTACGTGAGTTGTAAATGTATAACCAACAGCTTCACATGGGCTGGGAAGGTGGCTCAGTGATAGAGAGCTTGCCTTGAATGCATGAGGCCCTGGGTTCGATTCCTCAGCACCACATAAGCAGAAAAAGCTGGAAGTGGTACTGTGGCTCAAGTGGTAGAGTGCTAGCCTTGAGCTGAAGAGCTGATGGACAGCGCCCAGGCCCAGAGTTCAGGCCCCACAACCGGACCCAAAAAAAAAAAAAAAAAAAAAAGCTTCCCATTTTATGTACCTCACCTTTATAATAACAATAAAGTAAATTAATTATAAAAATAGAAAACATTTTACCAAGTAGACATTAGAACTTTCTATTTGACAAAAAATTTTATGAGCATTACCCAAGACTAAGATTACTTAACAAGCTGACAAAGGATTAAGTAGCTGATAAATAAGCTTACAATTGAAGTATTATTCTTTAAATGACCAAACCTAAAATTATCTATAACAGTGTAATGTATCCCCTGTGTAACAACTCATACATTTCAGGAAAAATAACCAGACTTAAGGCAAATCTACTCTTTGTTTTCATACTTTATTTTCAATAGAATTATTTTTAAAGTACTAAAATAAGCAAGGATTAAAGACTAAAACAACTCATCTAGTTACACCAATTCAAAATATTCAAGCAGTCAGGGTCCAATCTGTATTTAACAAGATGTAGACTATAAAAATTTTTTCTTTTCAGGAGAATTTTGGTTGGGCCTAGAGAAGATATATTCCATAGTGAAACAATCTAATTATAGTTTACGAATTGAGCTAGAAGACTGGAAGAACAACATGTATTTTACTGAATATTCTTTTCACTTGGGAAATCATGAAACCAACTACAAGTTACATCTAGTTGAGATTGCCAGCAATATCCCCAAGGCATTACCAGAACAGAAAGATTTGGTGTTTTCTACATGGGATCACAAAGCAAAAGGATATCTCAGCTGTCCAGAAAGTTATTCAGGTATCTTTTTGTCTAATGTCAATACTTTCTTATCTTCTAATCACTTCCCCTATGTCTTAGCTATTTTCCATGCCAGGACTTCAAAATCCTAATCTCAAGCACTTTCTTCACAGGAAAAAAAATCTCTTAACCATCATTAAAAAACTAGTAATTCCAGTTCAACTAGGCATTTTACCTATGATCCTCCTCAGATATTGTACTTTTGATGATATACATGAGAATTATCCTTATTGGAAATTATATATACATATATATATATATATATATACACCTACAACACTACAATGTCTATACAAAATATATATGTGAACAAATATAACAACACCCATACATGAGCTTTTATTCCCATTAAACTGTATTATATGTCCTTAGGTGGCTGGTGGTGGCAAGATGTATGTGAAGAAAATCACCTAAATGGCAAATATAACAAACCAAGAGCAAAATCGAAGCCAGAGAAGAGAAGAGGAATATGTTGGAGGGCTCAAAATGGAAGGTTATACGCTATCAAATCAACCAAAATGTTGATTCAGCCAGCAGATTTAGAAAGTTTTGAATGAACAGAGGCAAATTTAAAAGCCACTAAATACTAAACTCATACCAAATTATTATGGTTTCATAACCTGGTATTAAATCCTTTACTGAAGACTTGGGAAAAATAAATTAATATTATAGCCACTATCAATTTAAGATTAAATATTATCCCATTACCTCAAGGAACATCATTTACTTTTCTTAATCAAAATTCAATATTTTTTCATATATTTTCTGATGTAAGCATCAGTTTTAGATGGTAACAATTTAAGTCATAACTAATGGGTGAATCTTGTAACTTTTTTAAGTTTAAAAAAAATGAGTTTAACTGGGAGAGAGCTAGGGAAGAGGTGGTGCTGTCCAAAAAGAAATATACTCTTTACCTGACATATGTAATTGTCACCCTTTTGTATATCACCTTTATAATAACAATAATAAAAATTAAATTTAAAAATTAGTTTAGTTTGAAAGGCATATAAGCTAGTTTCACAACTTACCTAATTAAAATTCCAAGACTGAATAAATATTGACATTAAAAAAAAAACTTAATTAGCCAGGTGCTGGTAGCTCACATCTGTAATCCTAGCTACTCAAGAAGCTGAGATCTGAGGATTGTGGTTCAAAGCCAGCTGGGGGAGGAAACTCCATGAGGCTCTTATCTCCAATTAATCACCAGAAAATTGGAAATGGTGCTGTGGCTTAAGTGGTAGAGCACTCAGCTTGAGCTAAAGAGCTCAGGGACAGCACCCACAAGCAACCAAAAAAAAAAAAAAAAAACCCCAAACTAAACCAAGCAAAAAAAAAAAAATACTTTTCCTTGTTATTTTTAAGGAATTATACAAAGGGGTTCATGAGGCTCTAGGTTCGATTCCTCAGCACCACATAAGCAGAAAAAGCCAGAAGTGGTACTGTGGGGCTCAAGTGGTGGAGTGCTAGCCTTGAGCTGAAGAGCTGAGGGACAGCGCCCAAGCCCAGAGTTCAGGCCCCAGGGCCGACAAAGAAAACAAAAACAAAAACAAACAAACAAAAAAAACCCTATACACATAACAGGGCTCAATGGTAGAGTGCTTGCCTTGCATGCATGAGGCCCTGGGTTTAATTCCTCAGCACCACATAAGTAGAAACAGCCAGAAGTGGCACTGTGGCTCAAGTGGTAGAGTGCTCGCCTTGAGCTGAAGAGCTAAGGGGCAGTGCCTAGGCCCAGAGTTCAAGTCCCACAACCAACAAAACAACAACAACAAAAAAGAACAACAACAAAAAAAAACCCACAAAATGGTTACAATTTCATGTCAGGTTATAAACACGATGATTCTTGGGCATTTTCACCCCTTTCCTTCACTTTCCCCCATATTCCTCCATCCATCCCTACCCACAAGTTACACAGTTCATTTTTCTAGCATAATGTATACTGAATACTGCATTTGCTGTATCATTCTTAATGCCAAATCTAAAGTTCAATCAGCTCAGAGTATATACAAAAATCTGTAATATGAATTTTAAACTAATGCTTCATTTATAATTTGAAATAAATGTTTGATTTTTTTATATACCCAAAATGAAGCAAGATGTAATGGTACATTAAAATAGGCTTATTGTCTTTTACAAATGCAGTATGTCATGACTTGCAAAGTTGCACTGGTTCATACCTGTAAACCTAGCCTACTTAAGAGGGTGAGACCTGAGGATCATGGTTCAAACTCAGCCCAGGCAGAAAAGTTTGTGAGACTCTTATCTCCAATAAATTACCAGAAAACCATATCTATATACATATATATATATATATATATATATATATATCACTTAATTCGTGAAAATGAATAATTTTAAGCCATTGGTCACAATAAGAAGGAAGGCCTTTGCAGGATTAAGTTAAAGTTTAATTAAATAAGTTAATAGTAATTTCTTTTCCCTGGGCATGTTGTAAGTCTAATACTTTTGCTGCTAGTGATTTGTATCTATAATCATAGCTACTCAGGAGGCTGAGATTTGGGAATTGCCATTTGAAGCCAGCCTAGGCAGGCAGATCTGTGAGAATGTTATCTCTACTTACTCAACAAAAAGCTGGAAGTAGAGGTGTGGCTCAAGAGGCATAGTGCCAGCACTGAGTGGGAAATCTGAGTTCCCGTACCAGTATGTGTGTGTATGTGTGAATAAGCGCCCCCCCCCCCACATACACATAAGAAAGAAAAGAAAGGAAAAGAAACAGAACACACTATCGCTTTGGGTTCTTTGGGGATTTTTTGCACACGTGCACGCGCGTGTGTGTGTGTGTGTGTGTGTGTGTGTGTGTGTTGTTTGTGTGTTTATGGGGGGGTTGGCAGTACTGGGGTTTGATCTATGAGGTCCTACATAAATACTTTTTGCAAGGAAAAAAACCAACAGACTGGCAAGTATACAGGCTGTAATTTTCAGAACCATAACCTGTTCTGTACAATTTTATGTTGAGTTTTTATAGCCAAATGCCAAGATGGCCTTTCTTGCTCCTCAAAATAAAAAAAAAGAAAACATTTGATCATTTGCATCCCTTCCCTCTCTAGTTTGAAATCAGAGTCTCTGGTCAGCTAGGATAGGTTCTAACACTTGAGCTATACCCATGGCCCTTCATTTTGTATTTTTTCAATTTCTCATAGGGTATGATTCATTTTGTTCCTTTCAGTAGTACTTAATTATTTTTTTTCTCCACATAAAGCTCAGGTTAAGAGTTAATTCTGATACAAACTTTATTCTTTTTTTTTTTTTTCTTTTTTTGGTAGGTCAAGGGGCTTGAACTCAGAGCCTGGGCGCTGTCCCTGAGCTCTTTCACTGAAGGCTAGTGCCCTACCATTTTGAGCCATAGTGCCACTTCTGGTTTTCTAGTGGTTAATTGGAGATAAAAATCTCATAGACTTTCCTGTCCAGGCTGGCATCAAAACATAATCCTCAGATCTCAGCCTCTTGAGTAGCTAGGATTACAGCCATAAGCCACTGGCTCCTGACATACTTTATTCATGGTTCACATAATAACATTCTCTGTTCTCACTACTTTACTGGAAGTGTTTTAGTTTCACTGGTAATTCTTATTTGTCTAACCTACTGGTATTTTTTCAATTTTTTTTTTTTTTTTTTTTGTCAGTTGTGGGGCCTGAACTCGGCCTGGGCACTGTCCCTCAGCTCTTCAGCTCAAGGCTAGCACTCTACTACTTGAGCCACAGCACTTCTTCTGGCTTTTTCTGCTTATGTGGTAGTGAGGAATTGAACCCAGGACCTCATGCATTCGAGGCAAGCACTCTACCACTGAGCCACTTTCCCAGCCCCTCAATATACTTTTATCTCTCTAGTACTTATTAATAACAATGTCCTCTTAGGAAACTTTGATTTCACTTCCATAATATCATTAGAGTCTCCTGGATTAGACTAGTCTACCTTCATAATACCATTTCTCCCTCAAATTTAGTATTTGTGAACCAATATTATATATATATATGTAGATATATACACATATGTATATATGTGTGTATATAGGTATGTATACACATATACTATATAGTATATGGACTATATGTGTATATATGCTATATATAGCATGTGTATTCATATATACTATATATAGTACATATACATATACACACATATACACACACACATATATAACTTTATTGTAGAGGGTATGAACAGGGGGATTACAATTACATAACTAAGGTAATGAATACATTTCCTTTTAAACACTGTTACCAGTTACCCCCTCCCTCATTTTCTCCTGCTTACTCCTCCCTAGTCCCTTCCCTACCAAGTTATAAAGTTCATTTTCCAACATAGTGTCTAGTGAGTATCATTGTTGCATTAGTTCATCCATTGTCCTGTTTCTATGATTCCCTTTTCCTTCCATGGATAAACTTAGATAAAGACAAAGGGTACAGAAAACTAAAACAGAAAAAAAATAGAAATAACTGCAAACAGGACATAATAAGAACCTCTTCTTTCCAATTCTTGGAGTTCATATTGATATGCTTCATTATATATGGTCCTATGCATTTAGCAATAGGGCTATTGTGATCCCCTATTAAGAATATCATAGATCTAATACAATCTTTATTTATCTTTTTCCTTCTGTGACACTTATACATTCTATTTACTCTCATGGGTTCTATTTATCTTCAATTTGTATGTGAATTGTCTTATTCTCCATAAATCTTTTATCTTCATATAAAAACTTATTTTCTAAAAAGTGATGAATCATGTCAACAAAATGTGGACCCCAATTACAACAGCATAGGCCCAGAGAACAAACTCTAAAGCCCTTTCAGTCATTCAAGGATGTTCACGATCTTATCCCAAGTAATCCCTTAACCGTTTTCCCCCTTTATAGGCAGAATGATCAACTTTTAAATATCCCCTCTGTTCTTTTCTAGTTGATAGATTGTCTACAATGCTTATCCATTTTCTCACTGGCTATGTGCTATTTATACTTCAAGGTGAAGGTAGTTTTACTACTTCAACAAATATCTTAGGAAATAGAGGCTCCTTCTTCTGAAATGTTGTAACCTTGGTGTCTGCAACCTTCAAATCACTTAGTAAAGAAAGAAAAGTAAACTGGCATAGATAGCATAATAACAATTCTGAAAAGTTATGAAAACTCCAAAGCATTAAAGGTGGTCAATTAAATTGTTTTTAGTAAACAGAATATTTCTATATGAACAGTTTACTCTAAACCAGCACCAATATTACTGAGAGCAAGTATTTACATTTCTTTCTCATTTCAGGATCACTTATTACAGTATAATTATTTATGCATTTTCTTCCTACAATCAACATATTTTCATGCCTATATAGTTCCTTTCTAATAATGCAATTCAAAGAAATCAATTACTCATTAATTAATCAAGTATGTTTTTATTAACCAACATTTATTAATTTCATACTTTATGAAAATTACTCCAAATCTGTATTATATTATCATATATTCTACTTCCTATTATAGGGCATCCATATTTTCTTGTGTTTTTCCCCATCACAAGCATTGTATTTGTGTATGTGCTATTGAGTGATT